CAGCGCGGGCTGGGGCTGGGTCGCTCTGCTCCCTGCCGCCGCGGCCTGGGAGAGGGCGGCGGGGCAGAGCAGAGGCTGGTGCATTGCTCCACTTCTCTGCAGCTCCCTGCTGCCAGACTCCCGGGAATCCCCAAGGCCGCCCCTCAGGGGAAGGGGTGTGATGGGGGAAGAGGGCGGAGCAGGGATGGGACGTGGTGGGGTGGGGGCAGAGCAGTGGTTGGACTTGGGGGAAGGGAACCGACACCTCTCCAGCAGCCGTGTGTGGGCTGGATTGGGGAACTGCTTGGGCTGCCAATGACCCCTGGGTCGTGAGTTTGGGGCCCCTGGCATAAGGGATGAAGGGAGGGGCGTGTTCAGAGAGAAGTCTGCAGGAGAGGAAGTGTGGTCTGGTTACAGCAGCCACCCTGGGGGTTGGGAGCGGGGGCTACTCCGGATTTACACTGGCGTGAACGAGAAGCAAGTTGGGCCCAGTGGGTGACCTTGCCTCAGTTTCCCCACCTGTAACATGGGAAGGATGAGCCTGAGTTCCTCGGGGTGCTGCGAGTAGAGCTGGCGGATGATTTCCAGGTGAACAGCATGGCGTTTTGGCCAAACCCAGCACTGTTCATGAATTTGACACACAATTTTGGCCAGCGGTGGAGAGGGTGGTAGTATTGTCCAGTAGTTAGGGTGCTCACCTGAGAGGCGGAGGAGACATTCACATTTCTGCTTTTGAACTGGAACTTGGTCTTTTTGCCACTGTACCCTAAAAATCAATTATTTGCCCCACTGTAGTTATGAGTTAAAAGTCCTTTGAGATCCTGCCCTGGGTGGGGCTATAAAAAGGCCTGTCTCATTTGGCAGCCTGCATTTCAGTTCCAGATCTCTTTCAAGTAGATTGCCCCTGACAGATCTGAAGAGGCAGAGCATCTGTCAGAGCATTCTCACCTGTGCAAAGTGAGAGCGAAAGGCCCCGTATTCCCAACTGGTCCGACTTCCCCTTCTTTGGGCAGGTGTCGGCGAAGACACAATTCACAGAGTGCTGGATTGACTCCCAGCACTGGCAGAGGGACACAGCTGGCGTAAGCCCTGGGGCTCCGTGGTTGAGCCGCTCAGTGAGATGGCTTGCCCAGGTTACGGCTACACAAATCCATCTTTGCCGTTGTGCTCGGACAAAGCTGTAGGTCCGGGGACGGAGCATGGTGCTTTTCACATACGTGTACAGCTTCAGACGCAAGCGTCGCTCGAAGTCTGAATGTTTCTGAGTCCTTGAATCCCTGCAGCAACGAACGGTCCTTTGCGGAAGTGAGCGGCGTTGTTTGGAAGTAAAACGGGTTCCTTTCCAAATCACCATCTTTGCCGTTGTGCTCGGACAAAGCTGTAGGTCCGGGGACGGAGCATGGTGCTTTTCACATACGTGTACAGCTTCAGACGCAAGCGTCGCTCGAAGTCTGAATGTTTCTGAGTCCTTGAATCCCTGCAGCAACGAACGGTCCTTTGCGGAAGTGAGCGGCGTTGTTTGGAAGTAAAACGGGTTCCTTTCCAAATCACTTGCAAAAAATATACTGCAATGGATTGGTTCATTTCTGCTCTGCGGCGGTAGTGTGCATGCAACCTCAGATCTGTTGGGGCTGGCCCTGTCTGGGGAGCTGTCCTGGTTCTCGCGGGAGCACTCGGCTACAATTCCCTACGGGCACTGGGCAGGGCTTGACAGCGTCGAACACCCAGGGGATCAGGAATGTGTCTCTAGTCCTGGGTTTTTAGGCTACCGTCCAAGGGTGGCCACTGATTTCTGGGTACCCGAAGACATCATGGTCTCTCTGCCTGTGTGGAGACTTGTAAGCTTTCCGGTGGAGCTGGAGTTGATGGAGCAGCAGCATTGGCTTTTGGGGAGTTCGCGATGGGCTGAGATTTTCAAAAGCAGCCTGTGATTTTAGGGTGCCTCTTTTGTGGGATGCTGTTTGAAAGGGGTTAGTTTTCACATAGGCCCCTTTGAGGGGGTTCTCCACTGGGGCACCCACAAATCACGAGTCAGTTTAAAACAAAACTTTGCCTCTGCCCCCAGCATTACCTGGCTCATCCAGGCCTGGCCTGTTCCCTGCTCCTAGGAACTTGGAAGGCTGTCGGGGGTGGTAATTCTTTGCCACCGGAGGTCACTGAGGATCTGGGAAGGGTTGTGTGCCAGTGGCAAAGCCTGGACCCTCTGGATCTGTCAGGGATCTTGCCCAGAGAGTTCCCTGTGCCTCCAGCCATGCCCTGCTCCCCGTCTGCAGGGAGGGAGAAGCAAGGGATGCAGCCCAGAGTTGAGCTCTGGAAAAGAAAACGTCAAACAGCCTTCGGCTGCAGACAAGGGTACGTAGGTAGTGTCCCAGCCCTGGG